ACTGGCATAACAGGGGCAGGACTGTCCCCTTGATCTCTGCATTGGCATTCTGAGAATATAAAGGCCCTGGAAGCTATTTTGCAGAAAAAAATAGGCTGCTAATACACATACCTCTGCCACCTCACTTCTTCCACTGCTGGCACTGAACACAAGTCATCTGTTGCCATCTTTCCTTCTCGGAGAGAAGCTCCTTACGATTTGCTGCATGTCGAATGAGACATCAGAGCTCAGCAGCCCCAGCCCTGCAGCATCCAGTGGGACACGCGCCTCATGCAGTGTAACTCACTTTCGAAGTGACAGGCTGGAAGACTGGCACTTTTGTAGGTTTTCTGAAATAATTTAAGATTATTTTAATCCTTTTACCTTGGCCAGTTGGCACCACTTTTTGTCATTTAGCTGGTATTCTAAAAAAGTAAAATTTTAATTTCCTAAGCATACAGACTCGTAAGTTGTTCTCCTGAGTTCTGCTGTAGCCCCAAAGAGAAGCATGAGAAACCACGCAGGCTGCAGGAAATACTTGCCCATGCAAGTTTGCTGCAATGCAGCTCCCACAGCGTTGAATTCCCCAGCACTGGCAAAGTCTGCCCTTACTGAAAGCACTCACAACTTGTTCTGGAAGTTTCCACGTGGCTTTCATCCTCTAGTGATTTGTATGAGAACAAGAGACCGCAGGACCTTGCAGCATGAGTCCCAAGGAAGAGGAAGGGCTGCAGATAGTCAGAAAAATCCTCACAATTAAAATTCATTTGAAATATAGAATTGTTATCTCTTTTCCTTTCCCTCCCTGCCATTCTCTCATGCGAAATAGCTTCACAGCGAGAAACCTATTATTGGCCATTGCACATCATTAATTTTAGAATCATTTCTCTTCTGCTGCATCTTACGGTCCTGCGTTACACTGCCTAATATTGTCATCCCGGCATAGGAAGCATCGCCCGTTTCAAGCGTAACACTACAGACTGGAGCTACTCTGTCTAAGAGAGACCTAAACTAGACATCACAGAGCAGTGCAGGGGTGCAGCTGGCACAGAGACCTGCAGTCACGAAAATACGTCGTGGATGAAGAGACGTTGCTTTACATAAAGGGACTGGGAGTGCAGGCAATAGCTCTGAGGCTTGGAGACTTCTCAGCAGTGTCTTGCTTAGATATCCAAATTTCAAGATTTAAAACCCAACCCGATTAAGATATACTTCACTGTATTTTAGAACTGTATGGAGAATTCAGCAGCTCATATCTTTGATAGGCTTGTGACAGAGAACACACTTAGTTTTACCTGTTTCAGCGCCAGTGAGTCCATGACTAGACTTCGCTGTTTACTGACTGCACTGAAGGCTTTGGCCACTGGAAGAGTTCGCACATGCCAGCGTCCACGGCCTAGCCCGGCAGAGCTTACGGTGGCAGAGAGGACGCCAGTCAAACCTGAAGCCCAGACTAACTGAACCGAGCCCTGCAGTGTGTATTACACGTGAAGGGGCTTTGGATTCAGCCTGGCAGAGAGCAGTGCTGGGCAGACAGCACCATTCACTACGGCCGCAGGACCAATTCTCATGCGACTAATCTGACTTTCCTCGCAGGAACAAAGCATTTTCGCTAGAGCAAGAGAAAGGATGCAGGGTTAGAGATGCTTTTTTGCCAGTACACTGCTGCTGCTCACCAATTTTTCTTAAAAATAATCTAGACACAGGTTTCCATTAGTCCACATCCAATCCTAACCCAGCTTGTAAACACTTTGAAGAGGAACTCTTTTTTTGCTTTTAACCAGATAACCAGGTTTTGTATGCGTCTCGTACAATGGGTCACAGCTAGGGATCCTAAATCAGTACAAATAAGGATGAAAAATAACACAACGTTCTAAATTGCTATGACTAATTCACAATACAAAAAAACAATTCAATCCATATTGCAGGATTTAATCAGTGGCCAAGTACTAATTAAAAATTTTACTAGTGTCTGTCTGCTCTTCCATGGAATAATAGCAAAATGTATTTCCAGTTCTGATTTTGACTCACTAAATCCTGTTGAGAAAATAATTTAAGTGAAACCCTTTTCAGAAGAACTCTCCTCAAGGTGCACACATGGGAAGCAGCCCTCAAATATGTCATTCTTGGAAAACCCAACACGACGTTAGCAGACCTGATACTCCTGCTGCAGTGTTTGTGCAGAATACGGAGCACAGAGTAAACTGACAAAATAATTGGATTATACATGCACAATTCAGACTTTCAGTTACCGCGTGCTTTCTTGCTCCTGGTTTCCACAGAAAAGTCAGTTTTTTGTTCCTTAAGTCCTTGTACTGCTTATTTACATATGAAAAGGTAAGTTTATAAAAGAGCTTTCCTATTTTACTACATCTAATAGTTAATAATTTAAATCTGTAGCCATTATCATCATATAGATTGACACAAATGGCATATGGATCATTCTGGGGATGAGGGTTAGTTTCTTTTAAGAGAGAATTGTTTTAGTTTTTGCAGGAAATTAATCAGGGGAATGGGCTTTGTGGAGCATGGAGCAAATCTAATCTGTTCTTTGTTCAAATTTGCCTTGCTCCAATTCCTAGCAATTGTAGACAACATGCTCTTTTGTTCGGGAGCCACTTGTTACATGCATAATTAGAGACTGCAGTAGCTGTGTTTAAAGAAAAACTGTTTTCCAATGTAATGTGTGATCTTGATAATAGTATTTTCATCAAAGGTAGCAATTACATTCATTAAGCTGGGACTGGCAAGGCAGCAAGGAAATTAAGTGCAAGGTGAATAAAAAGCTCCCCGTTTCTTTTTAAAATCTCTGCCTCTTTATAAGTTGAAATGCACCATGTTGAGCTGCAAACTGGAAAATACATACTGAATATAAAAAAAGAAAGAAAGAAAAAAATAAAGTCCTCCTTAACCTTTCTGAATAATGATCCAGAAGATATATCCTAGGGACACCTACTATAGATGCACTTTTCAAATTAAAGGGCTTTATTCTACATTAATTTCTTATGCAAGTTTTAAACGAGCTCAACATATGATTCAGGTCTTTAAAGGCTCCAGGGCTCTCTAGGATTAATTCACTGTTCTTTTCACACATAAATTAATTGTTTTGTGTTCTCAGAAACAGCAAACAGCACATAAATCAACCAGTTTAGAAAAGACACAAGGCTGGTACCTTTTGCAAATCACTGAAGTTTGCTATTTACACTTCATTATTATCATATGTAACTTTTAGAGGGAAAAACTGGAAAAGTAGGACATATGTTGTTAATTCTAAGCGGATTTCTTGAGTGCATAACTCATTTTAGCAATTTGATTCCTTGAAAGACAAAAGTTGTGGAGCACTGAAAAGCCATTCTTCCAGCACTCTTAATTATATTTTTCCCAGTTAATAATTCAATTACACTTCACTAATGTATTTGCAAACATTTCCACATAAAAATAGCTAGTTGTGGAGTTCCCACCACCACCCTTTTTGCCTTAAGTGTTGTAAGAAAGAGTGAGATTTGCAGATGGAAAAATGTGAATAGCTAAAGTTGAGGGCCCCGGAGCCCCAGGAGTGCTGTGCCCAGCCCATGGGCTCCCCCAGGCACTCCTGCTGAGCGCACACACAGGAATCTCATTTTTAAACTCCAAAATGTAATCCCACTTTTTTTTTCTTTTCCAGGCACTGTACTGCAGGCTGAGAAGCAGGGGGAAGCGGGTCCATCCCCTCGTACCTTTGCCCTGTGTGGACAGCCAGGGCAGCACACCACTGCAGAGACGTTGCTCCTTTAGATGAGGGCTGAGCCCTAATTTTGCACGCAGGCAAAATGCCCCTCTTCAGGGATCTTGGCAAACGTCAACCAAAGCAGAAGACACTCGCAGCAAGTGGGGCAAGTTTAATTTACAAGCACTTACAGCAGGACAGGTACAGGGAAGCAGGCGATGCCAGGTACTCTGCTCCCTCCTGAAAGGGGATGTCCCAGTGCATTCTTATCTCAAGGCAAGAGAGAAAACCAAAGCCAGAAGCTGGCTGTCCGTAACTCCAAAAATAATTGTTTCTCCCTCTGCCCTTCCCAGAAATAGAACATGAAACCACAGCATCTTGGCCAAATTGGAATTTGCATAGTTCTGCGAAGCATTTCCTTCAGTTAGGAATGATTTAATTATTCTTCACTTCCTCTTCTAGAAATCATTCCTGGATAATGAGGTTAGCATAGAGCAGATATGTTTCAGTCAAGAAATAGATGTACTTCAGTGCCAGAAGGCTCTTACATCTTAAAAAAAAAAAAAAAAAAGATTTTTGGACACTTCTAAATAGAAGCAGCAGTACAGAGAAGGTTGGCTATTAAATTATACTAGTCTGAGACACCAGATCATCGGGTGCTTTAACCCAGTGCTGTGTCAGCCCCTTGAAGAATTAGAGGACAACCACAACTGTCTTGCAGCCCAGATTCTTACACAAGGGTAACAAGGCACATTTTAAATAATTATAAAATAATGACAAGCTATATTACCTCCAGAGAATTGTTTATCTCTGCAAATTGAATTACTGAAGTCAAACTACAGTAGAGCTAAAATACTTCTAGCATAAAACGGAAGACCTAATGCTGCACCTTACTTTGGACCCACCTTGGAAACTGTGAATCCTGCATGGCAGGCAAATATATTTAATGACAAATGGCTTGCTGAATCTAGCTTTTATTATTCAAGCAACAATCAAACTAACCAGCCATATCAATCAAATGTAGACATTGCTCCAATTAAACTGAGAAAATTATTTTCTTTTTAAAGCTTGATTGGACAGACATTGAGAAGACTTAAGTAATTTGGAATTTAAGAAGGAAGCATAACAGTTTGTCTTTGGTAAAAATCATAAAATGGAACATAAGGAATTTTTCTCTGAACATGGGGAAAACAAGACTATGAACATAAATACAGCCTTCATATCATATAACCATCTTCTAGTACATAATAGGGAGTCACAAAACATTTTCAAAGTTCAAAAAGTACCTAAGCTGAAAAAAGTGCTTTGCCTCAATTCTTATGGGAACAATTGCAGCAAATGCTGCATTTGGTGTGTAAACATCCTCCATCTCAGGTACGGAATGTCTTAATGTTTTCTTTCCTAAAACAAACAGCATCAGCTTTTGCACTAAAATACATTCGCTCCATACCAACTATATTTTCAACAGCTCCATTAACAAAACAAGTTCTATGGAGCTTTTCAGTATTTAACTACATTTCCAGAACCTTAATTTCTGAATTATTCCTTGCTTATTTTTAGGTCAGTTTAGCAGAGTTGACACAAAGCTGTTCTCTGTGAGATAAAATGCAAAAAAAAAAAAAAAAAAAAAGAGTAAAACATTGTGCCTACAACTTCGTATCATTTCAAAGTTGGCTTTTTCACTTCAGCTGGTCCTTTAGCCGGTGTTGGATACATGATACAGTGATTCCATAAAGTTATATCAGCTAATACTTTTTAGCATAAATAATGTATGCAGCTTCTGGGACTCTTCACTTTCATACTCTCTAATTTTGTATCCCTACAGAAAACCAAAAAATCTCCAGAGAAGCTAGTGTCTTTCTAAAATGTAATTATCATGTCTTTGGGTACCATCTAAACAAAGGCAGAAAAACTCAGTGACACAGTATCAAATTAAAACTGGATGACTGCTCTGGTTATAATGAAAAATTTGCATTTAATTTGCATCTTTAGGATGCATATCAGTGAATAGAAAAATCTTGCAGCATGTCCTACAAAACAATTCAGGCCAAAAATATCCGAGAGACTTGCAGCAAACTTAATGTGATGAAAAGGATGATCAGAAAATTATTCTGTTCCTCTGACGGGTGGGTCATCCTTTAAAAGTCTTGGCTGAATGTCCCTAAGAGAAGGCAGGAAACAACCCCTCAACCAGGAAAACATCAGCTCTGGATGTGTGTATCAGAGCTTCTTGTGTCCTATGAAGTGGAGACCCAACCAGAGTCCTTCTGCAGGCAGCAAAATGGAAACTTTCCTAAAACCGAATCAATCAAACTTAGAGGATCCAGAGAGGCAGGGAATACAAACTCAACATGAACCCATCATACTGCAGCTCTGCTCTTCCCTTCGTTCTCTCTACACTAGGAAAGAAAGTCGTCTCATAGCTGGAAAACATTAAGACATTTCTTATCTGCCAGCTTGCATTTGGCTCTAAACCAAACAAGCAGTAATGCTCTGTTTCGGCTCTTCCCACCGATGAGCACTTTCCCACCATGACCCTCCAGCCATCGTTACAGATGAACCAAAGCTCATTTTAAGTTCTGCTAATGTCTGCAAGTTGACTTCTCTATTGAGCATACCCAAAGCACTCCAGCCCTGCTTCATCTGGCGATTTACAGCAGATGTTTTTAAAACTGTCACTAATTGTGACAATGGTTTGTGTAATGCTTCAAACAGATTGTAAGACCTCCAGGTCTGGCTAGTTAGAGAGCAGAATTTAATTTCAGTTCATATATGCTAATTTCCTGGTTACGTGACCCCCAAGTACACAAACTAGCAATGTGGAAGTTGGCGATTTATTGCTCTATTTTAGGCTTTCCTCTTGCTATTTGATTTCTTTTTTAATGTAAGAGAGTGGTTACAGCTTGTAATAGCTTTCCTTTCTTCAGAGATCCCTGCAAAATGTTTGATGAACAAATTTTTCTGTGTGTTCAGAAGTCCTCATTGTGTATATTAAATAAATCCAGTTCTGAAAGTGCTGGCTACTTGGCTATTGAGACACAGTTTTCTGTCAGGTGGGGAGTGCTTTTCCTTTAGGATCTTTTGTGAAGTCACCTTGAGATTTTTTTCTATGTATAGCCCTCCAGTATTAGTAGCTCTACAGCTACTAAGACACACACAGAGGAAGAATAGTTTCAGAAAGATGTAAATCCAAATGATCTTGAAAGACAGAAGAATATATAAAACTGCTATTACTGCCTATTGAGACTGTACGTATTTCGATTTATATTTAAAAATATTTTATCAAAAAAAATGTTACGTTGTACATTGCATGTTCTTTTGAACATTAATATACCAACAGGAATCAACATTTGAACGCTTTGATCTATGAAACAAGCTATTAGGAAACACACTGGTTAGTTCTAGTTACCTCATGTATTAGACAGTTATTGCACACGAACAGAGTATTTTTAGAGGATCATAAATGCCAAGATTTCAAAGCAGCTTAATAATGTCTCTAGTATCAGATAATGAGAAATTCCCTCAATGCCGCTAAGCTGGACTTTGTTAATTATAGCAACTGATCTTACAACTGGCATATTTAACTGAAATAATGATTGTAAATCCTATTCGTTAGCCTGGAACTCTGGATTCACTAAGCATTGCTGTTTGACTGTCTCTGGTGTGGACTCAGAAAGAACTCTTGCATCCTCTCACCTGTGTGTACAATCAACCACAGTATGTCACTCTAGACAGGCAAATCCAGAAGAGTAAGACTTCTAGCCATGTCCCCTCACCTGGACCTAGATCAAGGAGCCACACTTCAGAGAAGACAACTCCTTGCAAAACGCTCTGCAAATGACTGTATTTCAATACAACATAAAATAACAAATTGTGTGAAAATTCTTTGGGAATTGTACAATACATATTCATCTGCCCGTCAGCTCTCACTTGATTTGTGCCTCTGCCAACAGTTTGCACAGTGATAACTTAACAGGTAAATATTTATAAAGTATTTGTGGTAGCTGTTAACCACTTTCACGTAATTCTCGTAGGAGAAGATCTATCATATTGGTACACTGATACATTCGGGGGTTGAGGAAAAACATTTCTTCAGCTTTCATGTATCCAATAAGCAAGCTCAGGAAAGTCAAACAGCTGCTTTCGAAGCAGACTGTGTTTCAAATCAAGCTTAGCTTGGTAGGAAGAACTTGAAATGAAAGAGCTCTCTCACCAAAAGGTTTCCAAATGGAAACGCTTTAACATGTTAATTAGAAAATTCTTTACATAGCAAAAGGCTCCCAATGAACAATTACTTCATATTTCACGTAAGCCTTTTGTAACACAATCTTTATATGGGGAAAAGAATATATGGAAGAAAGAACAACAGCACAGAAAACATCATATAAAATGTTGTATTTGAGTATTTCCCAAGTAGCAATTAAACCTTTCTGTTTCTGGAAAAGGCAGAGGAAATCTGCCTCAGACCTTCATCACAAACCAGAATAAAACTAAAGAAACCTGGAAGATGATATAATTATCCTCTCCCAGTGCAAAAATTGCAAGACCTGGGAAAAATTTTAAATGACAGATTATTAGAGAACCATAACCTGATATACAAGATGAGCATTGCATCAAGTCAAATATCGAATTTGGGCACTTTTTAATACATTCTCAATACAGGTCTTTTCTTCTAACTGGGGAAGCCCAGATGCAACATTTGATACTGAAGATGCTGTTCCAGGGCAATAGACTAAATTGACTGGGCTGACTATGGGCATATAAAGGGAAAACTCAGTAATATAAATACATATTGAGTATAAAGCAGCTTTGAGTATTGTCATTAGCACAGAAAGCCTCGCAGCATTCACAATGCCAGCTCTGCAGCCCTACACTTACTGGTGCAGCCAGCCACCATCAACAGTCCTGTGCCCACAGTGCCAAATGTGGAAATGCAATTTATGACAATCCATAAATGCTTGTCCCAAACAGAATAGGGGGTGGTGAGTGCAAGCAGCTCTTAACAGTTCCTGGACAACAGCACAGCACATCTTATTGCTAAACCAGAATCTGCGTTTAGTGCAGCAGTGGAATCAGACTTAAGGGGATGAAACAAGTTAACTCTTCCCAGAATCAGTGACCAGAACACGCTCTCCACAGCGGTACATGCCCTTTTAAAACAACAATGAAAGAAACTCAGCGGTTGTAATTAATTTGTGCACATATTCCTCCACAGAATTTTGTAGACAAAAATCAAATACAATACATACATTTCTTTCAAAAGTCATTGTGTATAGAATACAGCATACAGAATTCAGAGATGTGAAATATTTACAGCTGTAACATTAGTTAAAGGTTTGACCTTGCTTTTCTGAGAAGAACTGTCGAGTAGCTGATGAGGCTTTTCAGGTTGTTTCCTGGACTAAGGCATCCGCGTTCAGAATGTAGGAAATCACATTATTTTGATTTTTTCCTGATTACTTTTACAAATGGATACCTGACACAGTTCTACACAAAGAGACAGTCCTTTTACATAATCCTGGATATCCAGCCCTTAACAGTCCTTCAAAGAGCTCTGCACTTTCCTCCACAAAGCGTTTGCTTTTAGCGTTATATTAAGTCAGTTAAGTATTGCCACTCGCTTCCTAGCCTCATGAAAACAGCAGAAACCAAGCTAAGATAGTATCTCAAACTAGGAGACCTATTAAAAAGTATGAATCAAAACCTGATCTCTGCTGACACTTGTGTTAGCAAAGCAGGCTGAACTACAGCAGCTAGGGACTGCCTCACACTAGCACAACTCATCACATGTTGATTAACATTAACGCAAGCATTTTGTAGTATGATTATAATCATTTTAGACTCACAGATAGACTACGTTGAGCAGAACAACTGCAGTTAACTGTTGTGGTGTCTGTAGTCTTAATTCTAGTCTAACAATCTCCCCAGCCACTTCAATTCCGCTGAAAGAAAGCCTGCAAACAACCTGAAATGCATTAATAATAATAATAATAATATTAATAATGCTAGAAGAAAACTTCAGAAATCATCCAGTCCACCCTCCTACTCTTGTATTTTTGAAAATCTCAAAGCTGTTGATCAAAATTATATGGGAGGGGCTTTTTTTATTGGCATAAGGATAATTACCACATTAATTCTTTGCCTATCAACAGACAAAGCGTGTATGTGGGGGGATTAATTCACTAAAGTAGTTACTTCCCTTTCAAGCTGACAGAAAGTCAGAAAACTTTTTAATAGTGCTTTTCCTCCTTCTTGTTTCTTTGTATAAGGCACTGCAGTCTGCTTGTTTTACAAAATCATATTTGTTAAGTGTCATTTACCCCAGTTTTGCTACAAAATTGTTTAGGAGTCTCAGACTGTTACAGTCTAAGCTCCACTCAAAGTGAATCATCAGTGACAAGCAAGCTTTAAAAATGAGATACTTCTAGGTCAGCCAAAACCAGAAAACCAATCCTTCCCTCCCCAAAACACTTGAAACAAATTGGCAATTACAACAATTATAATGATTTTTCATATATTAAGCTTTCCGTCTCTTGATTCTTAGTTAATTAGTTCTCCAGCACTGAAGAGGTTTCTGCCGTAAATAAAACGTCTAATTTTAAAGTAAACAAAGAGGGATAAAAAAGCAAATACTTCTTAACCACCCCCCTCTTTCTCTCTCTCTTAAAAGGAAGAAAACTTTGCTAGAGAACCACTAACTTCCATGAGGGAGTTTTCTAGGCTGCAAATTAACAGTCCCTCCCTAACTCCCAGGAAGGCTCTGAGGATTAAAGTTTATAAAATGCATTGAACATGGAAAGGCCACTGTGAGGTAGTATCACAGCATTCCTATTACCTAGCTTATATCTCTGTCTTTTTGCAGAACTACTAGAGCTTTTTTAACGCCATTTCACAAAGATTTCAACTCAACCTTTTATGAAAGGAGAACTATAAATAACCTCTTAGATTAAAACCCTTAACAGCTGAGAAGGCTGGAAAGGGAGGTAGATAATATCCACCTTTCAGTACTACAAATTGGGGCTGGAAGGGCTTAATTACCAAGATATACTTAAGAACACACTAAGGGCTGCTATAAAAATTACTCCAATTACAGCAGCTCCACAGACATCGCTCCACCTGGGAGAGAGGAAACCATCGCTTCTATCTCTTTCCACATACCTCTCCTGTACCCCATGCTAATAAAGGGCATCACGAACAAACAGCAGCTTCACGCCATGCAACAGTTCTGCTGAACGTGTAAAGTCCTTTCTCTCAGGTGGCTTAACAGAACCTTTCACACCAGACAAGCCAAGGATTTGGCTTCTTTTGTTTTCACTTTGAAATCTCAAAGTGGAGATACACTGCTTGCATAACCTAAGGCAGCAAAAAAATTTCAGCCAATGTGTTGGCTTAGAAGTCTCTCAGGCAGAAAGAGATACTTTTAACCCATGATTTGGATTTGAATGTGGAATTCACGATTTCATATGAATTACACACTCACTGTCCTGAAATGGGGAATTCATGGTTTTCCTTATGATTTCATCTGAGATGATGTATTCTTATTTATGATGTCATTAATGATTTTTATAATTACAAATAAATATGCAATTCACAATGAATGTTCAGGGAAATAATTTCTGCTAACGGTCAAGAAGTCCTTGTGGTTTCAGTACTCCTGCGCTAAACTTTTTGCAATGGTGCTCAACTGGATATTTGAAGTTCCTTCATATATTGTACCTGAAATCAGAAGAAAATAAATTAGAAGACTATAAAAACACAGTGATTATATGAAGAAGAGACCAAGATATTTTTCTAACAGTCCAGTCAGAACATTTACAATTATGAAGTGATGCCTTACTGAGCAAGTTCTAGAAATAGAATTATTTACATAAATGTTCATATTTTATTATCTGCAACAATTAAAATACTCTTCTGCTGGTACAATATAATGACAAGACACTTTCCTGAAAAGCAATTCCTAAATAACCAACAAAAGTTAAGTATTTACAAATGCTATCAGCAATAAAAGTCAAAGGGTAATATTGTTAGTAATGTCAAACTGTTAGGCCCAAGAATTATACTAGTAAACAAGGAAGTCTTGAAAATAAAACTCCACATAGGTTCAGATCTTAAAGCCAAATAAAGTATTTTCAATTTTTTTTAACTGGAATTTTCTTAATAGAATGGGACACAATGTGTGTCTCTGTATTTTATTGGTATCTAATTAAACATTTTAACTAGCCTTACATACACAGCTATTTATACCTAAAGATTTACCTTCTCATATCTGAGCCTTTGAATCAGTGTTGATTACAGTCTCATGGAAAACAGTATCTTAAAAAGCTAGCCAGTCATTGATCCCCAAACTTTAATACTACTAATGCTACAAGAAATACTTGTTAAGAAACTATCACTCACCTATCTTGCAGTCACGATAGTACTTTTCTATTGGATAATTTTTTGTGAATCCAACACCACCCATCCATTCAATACATTTACTAGTTGTCAGTGTCGCAACCTATGAAAATAGTTTCAGAGTTACAATTTCAGGATTCAACTTCATGCAGGTGGTAGTAAATTTTATTCTTTGTGGCTATTTAAAGTAAAAACAAAACAGCAATTAAAGCAGTTACTAGAACAAGTGGGAAGAGGAAGGACCGATATTTTTGTATTCATCTTATTTATGCAAGTTATTTTAGAATAAAAATGACATTTTTCTAAATCAGAGGACATCAAGAATTCAAAAACCATTATTGCAACAGTTCACATGCTGCACTATGAAAAAGACTAGCAGTGGTATGCAAGACAGCAATTAAACAGACGCAGAAGCAATACAGTTTTGAATCATATTAAGACCCACAGTTGTGACTGGCAGAGTTGAAACGGTCACAAATGAAATCTCACCATGCCACTTCTTTAGCCACAAAAAGAGAATTCTGAGAAAATGCAATCTCTCTAGATGAGCAAAAATACGAATTCACTTTCTCTTTTAATGTTGTTGCTTGGTTTTCAAAATTTTATTTAGGTGCGTGAGCAGTTCATTCTTTAGTGGCCTACTTGACACTCCGTACATGGACTGAGAATGAGGAACAAGGTAAAAGTACATCCACAGATCTCACAGCAAAACATGAATTAAAAGTTATACATTCAGTAACAGAAGAAACTTTTAAACAGCAGTGACATAAATCCACTGAATAAAGAGACTGTAAGTTACCTCAGCAGTGTAGTATTTGGCCATGCTGGCCTCCTTTATGAATGGCCTTCCTGTTTCTGCAAGACGGGCTGCGTTGTAGGTCAGCAACCTCGCTGCCTCCAACTGCGTGGCCACCTGAGCTATCTGATGTTGCATCCCCTGTAATAAGCACGCCGCAAGTCAGACACAACTGGTATCTTAATACTGAACTGGAATTTCTAGCAAGAACCATTCTTTTCACCAAGGACCATACCTACACTCTAAAATAAAAATACAAAATCTAGATGGACTCGTAATTCTGCATGTCTCTGCATCTATGACATCGGTGTTGGAAAACCTCTGGGCCACCGAAGTCCTTTTTGGAACGGCACTCCCATTTTCTCCTTCCCTCTTCTTGGATTCAGGAGTACTGGGGAACTTCTTGCCTAACTGGCTGTACAGGAGGATTCAACAGGAACCTATCTGCACCCATGAATATCAAGGAAAATTTCAGCCAAATCTTAACATTTTTCTCAGCACTGCAGAGACACGCGTAGGTCAAACCTGTATTTTTATTTTGCGGCTGTCTATTGAGAACATTCATACATTAACAAGTCTAGTTCCCTGATGAGCTTAACCGAGAAAGACTGCAAAAAAGTAGCTCTTAAATAAAGTGGAGAACTAGCAAGGTGACAACCACTTCTTCCCATATTCCATAGCCATGAGACAAGACTTAGGATCAGCATTAAAGTATAGAGGACATGACTGATGAATGAATTCAAAGGGAAGGAAAAAGGTGATGGAGCTGACATCTAAATGGTAGGTATTACAAAAGAATGGATTTATTTAAGGAGACCCAAACATGATGACTGAAAACGAACATTTAGTAGCCTAACTTGGTCCTAAACCACAATGAAATCTTTCATCTTATTAGAACATTAACACTGCTCCCTAAAATTTGCAAAAATATAAAAGCAGGTCAAAATAACAAAATGATTCAGCAATTATAAATTCCATTTCCCATTCAAAAGACGCAGTTCCAATAATTTCCTAGATATCTGTGGGTGCTTCCTAAAATTTGTATAAATTATGAGTAGTACTAATGTTCCTTCTCTTCAGCCAAGATGTAGGTTTCTTTTAACAAGAAAATTACTATGGTAATTACAATTATATATCTTCCTTATTAAACTATACATCATTTTTGCAACAAAGACTCTTTTTCTTTTTAAGATACAGATATTATCATGGAAACTAAATGTCTTTGTATAACACAGGAAATCTAATAATTCAATCAGTTTTCCTCATCTTTTTATAATTTCTAGTGTCTCCAGAAAAAGGCCTTCCCCTACACCTCATGAAAGGGTATAAAAACTGGAACGCATTCAACATACTGTGATATTAAAATCAGAACAGAAAGCAGTTCCAGGTATATTATTTTCAAAGGCAGTGAATATATTATCAAGTAAAAGGAGTTATGTTAATAATGTTTTGAAGTTTTAAATGATTTCTACGGTACTTGCAAAGGGACATAGCACTAAATTTATATATTTTACATGGCAGATGAATGGTCATCCAAAATTATTCTGAAAAATTCTCAAATATTGAGAAGTAGAGATGTGACACAAGGTGGAGCACAAATTATGCAAATTGGATTACTCACTTTACTGACTTCACCTACTGTGGTAATTACTACTCTCTTGGAGGACACTTCCCATGTGTTCATTAACAAGTACCTGGAAATCGAATACGCTTTTCCCAAACTGGACTCTCTCCTTTGTATAGGGAATTGTATGGTCGAAACACCCCTGTGCCAGTCCTAACATCTGTAAGAAATAAGACATATTGAGGCGAGTTAGGACAAAAAACCCCCCTAAATTTTGAGGAATAAGCCTATTCCATACTATTCCATTCCTGAAAGAAACTTTCTTACTAAAAGCAAAATATTTCTGAAAACATTATCACTACTTTTTGAACAGATGTTATAGGTCAAATAAGGTTGCACAAATATTAAGTGTTTCTGGCAAAATTCTTAATTACACGGGAAATTTACTGTAAACTAAAGATCTATAGATCTACATTATGCCATTAAAGGAAAAATAATTTGGATTATTATTCAAAGCTATTTTCATAATAAAAATAATTTCTCATTTTATAGAAGACACTAGACTGTCAGAATTAGCAATTTATTTCAGAAGTTGGAAAATTAGTATAGTGGAAGCAGAGATAACATTTGTTCCAGTATTTTTGAGGAAAAAACCCAACTCAACAGAACAATTTTAGAAGACCCATTGTCTTTTCACACGCTCTCTTCACTTGGCAGCAAAGACAGCAAAACACAATTGTTATCTTGGTGGATAACGTCTGGGAAAACTACATACAAACATTTACAAAGTAACTCACATCTACACTAGTGTCTGATTTGTTAGCCTAAGGAAACATTATGAAATCTGGAAAGCAAACTAGTTTTACTTTTTTTTTTTAACTACCAAATTTTGAGAAGCGTATTCCATTCCAAACAAGACAGTAAACAAAGGACCCTGCCTTTCATATATCTTGGAATATATAGCTATTAGTAAATAAGATCAGTTGGTTTCATTATATAACTACCATCCACCTGAACGCATTCTTTCTATCTAGTTTCTTTCCTAGGAAAAACAAAGATAGGAAATCAGATTAGGGGAAGCACCACAGAAGTTAAAAAAAAAGGGGGGGGGGGAAATGAATGGCATGAAGAACTATCAAAAAGCAAGGTAACAGTATACAGTAAAATTGGAATCTCATAAAACTTTTCTAAGTCAAGATGGGATACTACAATGTGGCAGTCAGCTGTCATATCAAGCAGCTTAAAATATGTTTAATGATGTACAATAGTGTATGGGTACTTTTGGATAGACCCACATATTAAGCTGAAAGCCAAGGGCCCCAAGAAGGTAAAAACATGACTCTGACTGGGTTCAGACATCTACTCCTTAATCATTTAAGGCTCTAGAAAAAAACCACAATACATAGGAGAATGAGTATGTGGGAAAAGAACATAATACAGTCTGCTGCTAATCAGCTGTATTACCAGATTTGTTGCCTTCTCATATAAATTCATACAGACAAACCAAGTATATCAACTTCAGCACCTGTAGCAATATATGCAGCTACCTTGCACTAAAACTATCTGACACTGTTTTCACAGCCACAATTACATTTTATAAGATGTTCATTATCTTTTAAAACTATTACTACTGCAAAACTAAATTCAATACTACAGGGCTTTAGAACTGCTGTTCTTGTCCATTCAAGTCCTTTTCTCTTCATTTGAAGGTGCCACGAAAGTAGTAACTAAGATATAACAACTACCTGACCTTACCTTTTAATTAGGTTATAACTGTAACTTGGAGTAATTAAAAGTAAAATCCAGACCATGTATTTTACTGCCAGAGCCTCTATATTATTTATATCTATGGGAACAACGGGGCCCACAGCCCTAGTTTTTAAATGCCATATCAGACAAAGCTTAATCACAGATAATCTATAGGAATGATGGAAGAGCCAACCCATTTAGCAGCATAGTATACTGCCATGTGGAAAGTCTAAATTTCATGAGGATGATTACTTCTGGTCTGTCTGCAAACTTGGGCAAAAGATAAGGGAGATTGGTACTATAGACATATTACACCCTATACAGCACAATTACATCCACAACAAAGTAGAAACAAAAAAAGATTACTTTCAAAAGTAAATTAAAAATATAAAAACTCGTCATAAGTCATTTTATTATAGGGCTGAGCCTGATTTCCACTGAAATCAGCAGCAATCTGAGATCCAAAGTGAGTTTATAACAAAATACAACACTCTGAAATAACTCCAAGGTCAGCAAATATTTTCCCCTAAGATGCCATAAGGTGCAATTTTCAAACACAACAATGAACTAGGACACTTCTGCTATTAAAAAAAACATATTTATTTTAAAAATAAGTTGACTTTTAAAAATAAGTTGTTGGGAAAACATCAGTTAGCATAAGGTCACATTTGGCAATCCCATACAATCACAGCTGGAAGTATTAATATTAAACATTTCAGTGTGTTATATTTTACAAACCTAGCTTTCTTTGTAAAATAAATTTGCATAATGGAAGATAAAAATGTTGATATATTTCAGTAGCAATAAGTTAACCACCAAAGACAAACTAATTGCCATTTAATGTTTTCTAAATCTATTGGTTATGTCACCGAAGGAGAATTTTACCATTTAGAGTTGTTTTAGTATTTTACTGTAACTTAGATACAGGAATAGTGACATCTAGTGGCAATTTAGCTTTTAATAAAGTATTTTCTAAAGTTTATTCTTATTAACTTCAAATATTTTGTAATGGTCAATCCAAATTCAAAGTTATATACTGGTTGTATTCAGTATTAAACAAAATTACCCACCTGTGCAGCAATACCTATTCTGCCAGTATTTAGCATTCCAATTGCATACTTATAGCCTTGTCCAACCTGTCCCAGGATATTGGTCTCAGGAACCTAAAGAATAAAACCACTCAATTATTCCTCTTCTATTCTGCTTTGCAACTGCTGGTATGGATCACAGGTGAATCAATGTACATGTTTTATTTAATGTTCCTCATAAGTGAAGGCATAAAACATAAACCAGACATTTGATTCCTAGAATATCTGATTAGAACATTTTCTGATACATGTGATTAAAAACTGATGATTTAGAAAAACTGTATCAAAATTTAAGAAACCCAACCCCCCTCAAGACTTCTGTGACAGAATAGGGACGAAAAAGTTAAAATATGCCAAACAATCAGTATGTTTAAAGAAAAAAAATATACTAGGAATTTAGTTAACATTCTTTCCTTATATGTAGTCGAGTTCCAATTACACACAAACTATGCTTCAATAGCTAAACAACTTACAATACCTTAACATTTTCAAATGTTACTGGGCAGGTGGAAGATGCTCTGATTCCAAGCTTGTCCTCCTTCTTCCCCACATGTAGTCCCTCTGTGTCGCGATCTACTATGAAGCAAGTAATTCCCCTGTATCCCTAGGATGAATTAAAAAATAATCAAGAACTGGCTTTTATATTAATATTACCAAATGGTGGTCTAAATATCTCATTCCACTACTGAAATTATACACCTGCTTAATACTATACTACTAAATAAAACACTGGCACCATCATCTGTTCCCTCTATGTCTGCTACTTATGGCTTAACAAAGGCCAGAGATACTTTCCTGTTAAAATATTCCACATGGAAAACATAATCAGAACAACATTAAAAGTTCTCTTGATAAGACAGGGGACTGGTATTACATAAACGAAACAGACAGGACTGTGGTGCCTGTCTATAATGGAAATCACTGGGAAAGCAAGTTATTGCTGTGCAGAAGTTACTGCTTGCTGTTGGAACGTATGTCACAGGCAAACAACGGCCTGCAAGAAGACATTGGGTACCTTTAGACTAAAGTTGTCAAATGAGTAATGGCTCTCAACCCATCTGTCAGATGATTCTATAGGATGCAAGGTTTTACTTAAGCTCAATTACTTCAGCTGCTTTTCTCATGGAATGCTGCACATATACTCTTCCTTTTAAGGTCATCCAAAGTAAGAGCACTGACTGATGAGACTGGCGTCACTGGGAACTGTGCATGAATATTCAAAGTGCAGCAAAATTGTTAGTGTTTTAACAGACCTAATCTAACACCCAGAATTGGTGCATGCATTCTCCTTGTGATTCCAGTTTTCAGAACATTGGTACCACTGTCTCTTCGCTTTAGAGAGGTAGTGGGAATATAATTGAGTAGTCTAAAATCATTATGATTGTTATCAAAAAGCTCCAAGAGTTGATTTGGTATTCAGATAATGATCTGGACAGGACACTAAATAATGCAAGTGACAACACATAGATTGTATAGCCAATCTAAATTCTGGCATCTCCTACATACAGGCTTACAATGTTCGTATCTTTGACACCTTAAACTAGATTCTTGAAGTACAGAACGGTGATTCCTGATAGCTGTCACTTTCTCTTTTTCTCTCTATGTAATTCTTACTCCCAGTTCTCTCTCCTTTCCACCACTCATTCTTGCTCCCTCAGCATTTCCCCCAGCCAGAACCACAGTAGTGTCTCTTATGCAACACACTACAGACAAAATTGCGAGGTGTTTCTGGCCATGTTTCCATCTCTTCCCGTCCCTAATGTCCACAGCACCTCTTCTCACTAAGCGGGTAACACTGAGAGACAGGAAAAGTCCTGTGGTTCCTCTCAAAGAGTTGCCTTTTATTAGAGAGGAGGCTGCTGTTTCAATCTCACCTCAATGACAGCCCATCTCACCAAATGACAGCTGCTACTGCAGAGTGTACGTTTCAGTACACAGTTCTACACTGGTCTGTTCTCTCATTTAAACTGACGTCAACTGTTATTTAATCTTTGAGCAGCATTGACTTTTAATCTCCTTCTTGAATATTCAAAAGCAAATTTCTAACTTCAAGAAGACAAGTTATTATAAATTTTTAAAATGTTACACTAATACAGAAGAAACAACTCCAGATTACATGACAATGCACAGCAGTTAACAAATATAGAAACTGGCTTATCAAATATATTTTCATTGTATGTAGTACTCAAATCACCCACCAGCTTGTGAAGAAATGAATAAAAATTCAGAAAGTGACATGGTGTTCAACTGTTTAATACAATGAAAGAAAAACCTCTCTTATTTAGTCAAAACCTGAAATTTTAATTTTAAAAATAAATATCTTCAAGTTAAATTTTTAAGAAAGAGATACTGGAAGAAGTTTAAAAAATAAATCAAAGTTCTAAACAATTTAGTTTTGTATTTGATTATTACTCTACCGTATTGGTATAGCACATTTTAAAGCCTGCAGCTGACTTTTCTGAATTGACTACCTATATGCAAATTGGTAACAAAACTTGAAACATGCATATTCAGCTACATATTTTTTCACCTGAACATACTTTGCTGTTGTATTCTTGTTAGTTTTCCAGTGCATGTAGCCTAAGCTCTCTTTTGCCTTTCAACAACAGCAACTTGTCAGTTAAGTCAGAAGGGTTGGAAAGACTTAAGATTGTCTGTTCTTCCGTTACTCAGAATAATACAAATGCATGCTGTGCTCTCCATCTAAGCAATTATGATTCTGACATTTTTATTTTCCCTGGTGGGAGGAATTTATTAAACTGCTCAGCAAGTTCTCAGTTTTTGTTGGGAAATATTTTTAAAGGTTTGCTGTCAGCTAGGAATAGGTTCAAAGAATATTAACCTTTAACATCAGATTATTAATATAAAATCCATAGTTTCATACATCATCAGCTGTCACTGAAATGCATCTATTCTTTAGCAACTTACTAAGGATGGATCTGTATTTGCCATCACAAAGAAAATTCCTGCATGTTCTGCTAAGCTAATCCACATCTTTGAGCCATTGATAATATAGTAGTCTCCTTTCTTTTCAGCCCGAGTCTTCAAAGAAAATGCATCACTGCCAGATCCAGCCTCCGAAAGACAGAAACTGCCTATCTGTCAATTGAAGGGAAAATTTAATTTCAATTTTTACTGAAAATATAGGCACAACATATAACAAATTCTACAACAAAAATAGTTATAAACAAGCACAAGTCTCTTAAATTCAAACATTTTAATCTATTGCATCAAAGTAACTAAATTTCAGATGTGGTGATTAAGAATAAAAACACTATGTAATTACACATCTCAAAGTCAACTGCTTCAAAGTTCTTTTCCACAGCAAATTAAATTTTAATGAAACTAATAAGCGCCTTTCCACTTTTACGTCTCAGCTACTGACGACAGGATGTATCTATATCATCTCAGCTCTAACCAGTGTTTGAAAGTTCACACGTATTTTCCAATGCTGCGGTCACCCATTTAGTTACTGAAAAAAACCACTTACTAACATTACTTAACTATTAAAAATTATATTATAGTTTAGTAAAGTGAGAATTTGACTCACTGTATCTTTAGCAACTCTGGGCAAGTAAGTTCTCTTTTGTTCTTCTGTTCCATATGTGGTAAACAACTTATTTGTTAGTGTATTTTGGAGTTCACATAGAAGAGCTACGGCTGGATCAACTTTGGCCAATTCTTCTACCACCAATATGATTGAAAAAAATGAAGCTCCAGTTCCTCCATATTCTTCCCCAAGCGCAATACTCATCAGCTGCAACATAAATAGATCAATCTGTTGGTTTCTTGTCAACAACTTGTTAGTCCAAGCTGATACTTAAGAGATTAAAATGAAAATCACAGAACGTAAGTATTTCCAGACCCTTCCCCAAAGACCTGTTTTCCTTCAATACCCTAAACAAACTAACAGTTCTTCACAGAAGCTGACAGTCAATTCACGCAAGAAATAACATGTCCAGTATACAGGCCAATCATCACCCTAGTTTGATTACCATTTCCAAAACAATTGTAATCTCAACAGAAGTCTAATATTTAGCGTTGTCATTGTATAAAATGACATTCTAAACATGTACAAGCTTTATGTTTGATAGCAGGAAAGGCTAAATTGAATCCAGGAACGAACATCAGGATATCTGCAACGCAAGTCCTTGTGGTTGCCCATTAAGGACACAGAGGACTCCTGATACCCTTTCCCAGCAACGCTTATTGGAGTCATGGCAATTCTAGCATTCTACGCAATTGCACTTAGCCAATTTAAAAAAAAAAATAAATAAGGGAGGGGGGAAAGACAAGAAACTCAAAGCAAAGATGAAGAATGTGGTACGGCAGAGGGAGAGATGGAAATAATATTACAGTAAAAGATGGAGAGTGATAATGCAGTAAAGAAGAGAAAGTTGCCTTGCTGTTGATAAATCCAAATTTTTTAATGATTCATTAGTTCACTTGAGTTATAGCCCCCAATTTTTTAATCTAAATATCTGAAAAATGCACAGCTAGATTCATAAAATGATCTCACTTTCTGAATAAAAGATTAAGTAAAAGTGTGCAGACCCCTTGTTCAAACAATCCCTGTATTACAGAGTCTTCCATTTTCGAATTCTCATCCATTTTTTGCACCAAAGGTGCAACTCGTTCCTGAGCAAATTTTGTCACTGTAACGAAGAGAAGAAAGAAAGAGTGTAAGTATTCTAACACTCTCCTTGAAGATCAATATAACAGTAATGTGGTACTTCTAACAGGTTATGAATGTATTCCCTGACTCTCCCAGACAAGTTAGTAAAAGGACAAAAAGTTGCCCAAGTGAAACAAGGTGATGTGCCGCAAGGCTCAATTATAATTGCTTTCTGAACTCATCTGCAACTCTCTAAACCAAAACAAATACTTCCCATAAATTCAGAAACTTTGAAAGCATCTCAGCAACACTTATGTAACATTGGTTGACCAAAAAAATTATGTAAAATATTTCAAATACATCCCTTATTTGTTTAGCTGTATCGTATTTCTTTATAAATTAAACCTGCAGTTTGGGAAGATGGCCTCAGGCTTTAAAGCATGTTATTTTGAGTGCACAAAATCCTGTATGAGTGTTTCTGTTTAATCTGAGCCTTTTATAAGCTCTCTCCCAGATATGCAGGTCCTCACTCTTTCACCTTTGCTCTGAGGATCCCTTCTGAAACACTGTCTTCTTCGTGCAAGCCTGGCTGCATTGCAGACACTCACATCACATCTGTCACCGTTCTGGCTATACCTGAAATCTCTGAAAACCAGCAGGGCAGTTAACTGTAGCTGAACTAAACACCTCAGAAAGGGCACTAGTCAATGCCAGGCAACTTCACTTCTGCAACAGCAAGTTTTAAACAGTTAATATTTATTTATGCAAAGTAAACTGCACTGTGGTATGCGGAACTGTGCTATGGTAACATGGAAAAAGAACATTACATTTTTCTCTTGTGAACTATAGCAGTTTTAAAATTAAGCACAATCCCACACAACAATCTCAACATTTAACTAGAATTAAATAATGAAAAGAAATTTTAAAGCTAAAATTTCCCTTCTAGTTGGACTTTCTGAATTTTAACTACACAGATAATAGGTACCCATATTTTTCAGCATTGTTTCCTCTTCGGTGAATGTTTGAAGCGGAGCACAGACAACTCCATCACTGGCTAGATTTGGCATGAGTTCCGATTTGGAGGATCTAAAGACACATGGAGAAGCTCTCCAAGGAGCCAAGTATGCTGGCATATTTCTTTTCAGCTGTTGACAACAAATACAGAACATGCAAACAGTTAATAGAATTTGTATTTGTATACAGACAGCAATACACAATTTTACCCAGTGTTTTTATTCAGTAAATGATTAGGAAATACAACTTACATTCAATGTCTAGTTCGAAAGTTTTTGAGAAGATATACCCCCCCCCCCCCAGTGTCCTAAAGAAAATACCCCTTAATTATTCTTCTTTCAACCCCAAACAATTTTCTTTCTGGAAGTTTGCTAACACAATGTTATGCTACAAACTATTCACAAACATTAATTTTAGCAATTTTTGGTGTTTACAAGCAAATAAACCCTGCTGATAGTATTTATTTTTATAGATGATTTTGCAAGTCTGCTGCAATATTCATAGTAGTAAGTGTATATTTTGATAGAATATCTTCATTAACAAATATGATAAGAGTAAATGTGAAATAGACTTAAGAATGCTTTTTACAGAAAACCTGTCAACTTTTAATGACAGACTTAGCATTCTCCCTGGTGTTCTAGGGACCAGCAACTCTTGTTTCTAAAGCAATCTGATAGCACTTCATCTGGATTATTGGTATTTTGCTGTGAAAGGGCACAACTTTTAACAGCACCGTAGATGTCTGTATTCAAACTGAGTTCTTATGCACCACAATGATTTTCAGAATGAGCACACATTTCATAGACAAAGCCCTGGCATTTGAATGCCTCTGTAAATTTCTGTACAGTTAGTTTAAATCCTACAGTTAGTATGTTGATAGTACTATGTAACTAATAATTAATGCATCTTATTTGGTTGATTTATTTAGAAAGTAGAGGAAGGAAATAAAATTGAGTAATTTATGCTTAAACTCTCCCCATTTGTCCACGATATAAAACAATTCAAAATGATATGAAGAAGCACTGGTTATCCAACCAAGAGAGCAGAGGTATTATGAGCATTTTACTATAAGGGGAATGGTGGTAAGCATATGAGGCACAAGGCACAAAAATGAACAGAACAGACAGTGGCTTTTGGGAGCAAGATACGCATAGGGATTGTCAGGTGGGTGGACATAGATAAGGTGACAGGTAACTAATTTTGTACCTTGGAGAATTATAAACTACTTAGCATTCAAAGACTTATAAGTAGATAACAGCAGGCTTTAGAAAGGAACACATTTAGTTTGAATATTAATATACTTTCCAATGACAGAATAATTTCTTAGGATTTTAAAAAAAGTTAGCATAATGAATATGATCTGGCTTAAAAAGTAACAGGCCAACAGTAGCTAAACTGCTGCAAAATGTATTCCTGAAAAGCGCTATTAAAAAAGAAGCACAGTTCGACTGACTGATCTCAAAAGAGGCAAGACAGAGAAATGGCTTTGCTCTCACAGCTCCCAAAACGCAACTTATGCTGTGGCTAACGTCTACAGATCAGATCTTTGCTACAGATATCTGTCACTATTGCTATTGTCAGTCTAAAGTGTGGAGATATTAATGTCTTACTAAGACAACTGCTGACACAAACCCCCAGTAGACACAGCTGTGCCATAATGTATATATGAGCATATGCCTGCCAACATGCATTTTTGCCAGCACACGCTCTTAACCCTACAGTGAGCAGACTGACTGGCTGTGCTGTAACCAGACTGTTATTTAGCTCACAGAACGCAGGACAATTTTGCAATGCACACTGTGATAGCAGCATTCCTCAAAAAACGGCAGAAACTTTGGAGTCAGGAAGTAAAAATTCCTTTGATCCTTCTAATAATTCACTCTCTTTCATGTTGGCTTTCAACACTTGTCATCTCCCTGGCTGAAGAACTGATGTAAAACAGATCTACAGACTCTTTTTGTCTTAGAGACAAGATGCGTAAGTCTATTACGGTAAGGAAACTCCAACTTTCGCACAACCAGTCATGCATGACAAAAAAACCAGTAAGAAGTGGCAATATAGAAAACAAATATTGCTGTGAATATTCAATGTTCACTCACATTCAACACCCCTGCTCACATAAAACAAATACTGATTAGTGGGGCTGATTCATGAATACAAAGTTCAGATGATCAGCAATAGCTGCAACACTTTCAAATGAAGACTTAAGTTACTGGAGCCACTGTAGGTCTTCACAGAAAAATAAAACAGGAGTTGCCTTAATAGAGATAAAATCCAATGGAAGCTGTCAGTCAGGAATGGATTATTCACAGAACATCCAGCTATGGTAGGATCACTCAACACCCAGATGTGCAAGACCATTAAGCATCCTTCTGCGTAAGTCCATATTCTTAGCAAGGTCTGAGAAGGAAAAACATGAGCATGCACAGACACACATATATATATATTTAACACAGTATGCTTCCTGAGCAGTTGTAGGATTACAAATCACACATACTTCCTGCTTCTTCCACTACTTTATTTCCAAGTACAAAGAAAAGAGCATTTTTCTTTCATGGTGGCATAACCAAAGATGAATCACTGAGAATATTTCACCAGTACTGACCAAGAGCTGTCAGGAAAAAGACAGTGCCTTCTTAAGAATACAAAACTTTTCAAAAAGTTGCAAGTAGGTACATTCAGTAGCCAATAAGCCAGTACTTTTGAAACAACTGGTAGCATGCTGGGATTACCTCTACTTTAATTTGATGGCACCTGACACTTGCATGCAGAATTATCAACCAACGCAGGTGAACACATCACTAAATGCATGCAGAGGACTCTGCTCCATGCGAAGTGGGAAGTGCAGATCTTGTAGACCACAAAAACTCCACAGATTTTTCTCATATGCTTTCAGGAAAATGTGAAGCTGGACAAATTTGATTAAAAACAGTTCAGCAAGGTCAAGCACAAGCACATGGGGCTGTATCAGTGTGATACTGCCAAACGCCTGGCTAGCAAGTAGAAGCGTTGAAACACAGTAAAGAGCTCAGTGTTTGTTATAGGTTACAGCCACCATAGCAGGCCCGCTCTTGGCAACAATGCCAAAGGTTTTGAGAAAGTTAGTGCCCACAGGAACTGTCCCTTCATTCACTTAGCCTCCCTCCCCCTTAGTAGAAACCACCCCATGCTTTCTCCCCTCCCCAGAGCTTTCACTCCGAGGCTCTTCCACTGCAACCAACCCACTTGAGAGTGGTAAAGTGCCCTACTGCGGCAGGAGAAACAAAGGCAACCCTTCGCGTACATATGCAGATAGGGTTTGATAAAACCTTGTTTGATACCCAGTTGAGATGGTGCTAGAGGACAAAAGGAATATGCATAACAAGGTTACCTTGAAAAGTCTTAAAACCAGTAGGATGGCCCCAAGGGGGCCTACATCGACAACACCCACACACAGAGCAGCAGCCAACAGGTATGCCAGAGTAATAGCGCAGTGTAGAAATTATGTTTTATTTCAACATTTAGATTAAAAAAAAATAATCAAGTCACTACATTATTGTTTGCATTTTTAGTCTTAGAAGTCACGCAGTCATATAGTATTACGACCTTTCAGATACTTATTTAAAGTGCACGTATGTTACTCAAATGCTTCGATACTTCTTCCCTGCTTTTTTCCCCTTCTTTTTCTGTAGGTAAGGTAGTGATTTATGCTGCCACAAGATTCAGACTGCTTGCCCTACTAAACACATGTATTTGAAAATTGGTTTCTGGGTTGCTGATAACATTGATTTTTCTGTTTATCTCAATTCTTACATCCAGCTCAGCTCTTTAAAGATCGGTTCTTTTGGCTTCCTACTGTTTGTTTTACAATCTAAAATGAGATTTTAATGCTGGTGGACTTGGCAGCAGCATTAAGATATAAATAAAAAGGCCAAAACAATGTACTTTCCTAAGCTCACTTGGCTTTCCTTGATGATTTCCACTCCTGTATCTGTCCTAGCCATCTTCCAGACAGCTCCTGCTTCTCAGCAGAGAAGCTCCATCATTGGAAGCTTGCTTGCCCTCATTTATGGGGTTGGTTTTCTTTACTTCAGTTGTCACAACACACCCACAAGCTGCAGGAGGAGGTCCCAGGCCAGCGCGCCTTCTCACTCTGCACAGTAAAAGCGTGTGTGCGGCACAAACCCAGGTTTTCCGCTTGTTTCCTTTGTCTTTTTGATTACCCCTACAGTGCCACAAGTCTGTTTAGATAACCAAAGGAGACATCAAAGCACCTCTGCTGCTAGGACTGTGCTGCCTCCTCACAGGCGTATCTGCCACGGGCTGCTCCAACTACAAGCTGTTTCCCAAGACTTGCAAGAACTTTCTTTAACAAGAAGTTACCTAATACCACCCCTCCATACAAAAAAAAAAGCGCCAGCAGACAGGAGGAGAAGAGGGCTTTCCAAGCTGCGCAGCTGCATTTGGACCGGCCGAGCAGACCCCGCACCCCGCCAGCTCCGAGCCCCCCAGCGAGCGGCTCCCCCGGCGGGGAGACGGGCTCCCGGAGCCCGCCCTCGTCCCCACAGGAGGGACCGGAGAGCCGCGTAACGGAGACGCGGGGGGCCTCCTCGGCAGCCTTAACCGGCGGTCTGAGTCGACAGGAGATGAGAAGCGAGGCGGGATCCCCCCTTCCCTCAAGCTCGGAACCCCCCGGCCCGCCGCTCCCTCAGACGCCCGGCGACCCCATCACGGCAGGGGACCCACCCCTCTCGCGGCCCC